ATGTGGTGGGAAATACTGTCAATTAGTGAGCAGCTAATTAATCTTTCTTTGCCACATACACTCTGGCAGGATCTAGAAAGTGCTGTTTTGCTCCGAGCTGTGGGAGTGCTTCCTATGGAAACAATGCATGATTATAATGTTGATTTCTTGACTCTGTGCAGAAGCTGGCGGGCAGAGGGCAGCTCTTGCCAACAGCCACCCTGCAGTCAGAAAGGGAAAGGATTAGAAGTTGGAAAGATACTTTAATTAGTGAACCAGGGCATTTTTGAGTCTCCACTTTTCATATAATAAGCATATTTTATCCTCAGAGCATCTCCCAACTCAGATATGCCTCACTGTATCTTATTTCCAAATCTACATGTGGTTGTATTTTGCAATATACAGAGATCCAGATTATTGAGAGGATTATTGCTCTCCAGGACCTGGTCCCGGGCTATGAGCTCAGAATTTGCCTAGTTCTACTATGTATAGATCATTTCTTCATTCCTGTCACTATTACCCTGTGGCTGTCTGTTCAGAGAGAGATGCCCTGAAATTGCAAACAAAAATTAGCATCTCTATGTATCAATCCAGGCAGAAGCCTCAGGAGCCACCTAAACAGCCTGAAGCTGGGAGCTTGAACCCTGTGCAGGCATTGGAGTAGTTATATCGAAGAGAACTTCATCTCATTCCAGAAAGGGACTCCTGAACTCAGTCATAGTATGGCAGACTATGTGTTTGTGTTAGAAACATTTCAAGTTCTGGCTTGAAGTGAAATGGCTTCGGCTCCCATCACTTCCTGAGAGGGGTTCTCTCTAGTGTTCTGCTCTGGATCTTCTGGAGGTGCACTTATCTTGGCCTTTTCACTTGTCTAGGTAACTTCCATTGATTCATCAAAGTTAAATCGAAGTCACTTTTACTTGAATCCTCTCTGACCACACTAAGTAATCGGGAGAGCTGAACGCTTCTCTGTTAGGGTCTCCCATTCACTTCTGTAACTAATATATCACATTAGATTGTGGTGTATGTTTATTATTGATTAAATATTTACCACCCCTTTAGACTAGAACAATATGTGTGTGTGGGGGGGATATACATCTTCAAATTATTGCTAAAGAGGTAGTGTGGTTTGCCAGTAACCAAGCTATACTTTAGGTCAAGTACTCGACCAGACTCCATCTGCACACATACCCTAACGTCACTGCTATCATGAATAAATGGATGAATGGAGGAGATAGAGTATATGTCACGATTTATGGACTAGTGTGTGAGTACCATTCGGTTATGAAAAATGAAAAGATATTTACCAGGTATGAAGTATGTATTATGTTTAATAATACCCTTCTCAAAGTTCAGAATTAATCTAAAAACTGAGAACAAGTTTGTTGAAAGTCCAATGTTCAGATCACTAGGGTACATTTTAATTTCACTCATTTATTCATTTGTCCAATAAGCATTTTTCATAAGTATATATATGAGATATTTATGTAATCTTGACAAAAGAAAGACACAAGCCTTCCTTTGAAATAGTTTAAGGCAATGATACAGAGAATACTTAAGTTATGGATAAATAATTAGAAGCTGCAAAATGAATAATAGACATAAAGTACATATGCAAATGTATTTGTGTGTATTTATGATCGATGATATCTAGAGGTTGTAATTATGCTCTGATTGTAATTGAGAAAAGTTCATGAAATAAATGGAACTTAAATGGGCCTGGAGAGTGTAATATTTGGAGGGACTAGAAATCTAATACTAGACACAACGATGTTTAACTTCATGGAGCTTACATTCTACTGGGCCAGACAGACCATACAGACAGAAGCAGTAAATACAGGTGTCAGGAAGCAGTGGGAACTATGAAGAAAAATAAAGTAGGAAAAGAGAAAAGAGCATGAAAAGTGACAGAAACTGCTGTCTGGGGCAACAAGGCCAAGGAAGCTCTACTCTAGACGGTGTCATTTGAACGGCGACCTGCATGCAGTAGGGAAAACAGACAGAAAAGTCCATCAAGAAAGCAACCTCATGTGGAGATGACATCAAGTGCTAAGTCTGAGGAGAGTCAGAAGGACAGCCAAGCATTATGAACTAAGGGAGGAGTAACAGAACACGTTCGCAGAGGGTAAGCAGGAGCTAGCTCCAGCAAAGCCAGATGCACCATGACAATCACTTTGAATTTCTTCATAGCTTTGCTACAGGCAATTTGGGACCTTGGAAAATGAGGTACATGGTTTTGTTTTAAATGATCCTTTGACTAGTGCATGAAGAACTTATCTTATGAAATCTGGGCAAGGAAGGAAAAGGTAGGACAATAACCACTCAGTGATGATGAGGATGGTAATGACCACGACAATGTCAGAGGGCCAAGAGCTGGTTTAAGTGTTTCACATAGATGAGCACGTTTAATGCCAACAGAGCTCCTTGAGGAACTCACTGTGCTAATCCCCACTTTACATGTGAGGAAAGTGCAGTGCACAGAGTCGGAGAGTGAGTGGTAAGGATGGGATGTGATCACATGGTCCGCCCATGTCCCTAAAAATCACTCAGTAGCTGCAAGACTGGTAAGTTAGAGTCAGCCTGTGGATACATGTTGAAGGTACAGCCAGTAGGATCTACTGAAGGGTTAAATTTAGTGTTAGAGTAAATAGTTGGTGAGAGGGAATAAAAAAAATGTATGTGTCTGTCCTATGGTTTGAGTGTTCGAATATCTTCAAAATTCATGTTGAAACTTAGTCCACAATACAAGGTGAAACTTTAGACAGTTGTAAGTCCAAGAGGGATTAGTGCCCTTATAAAATGTCCTTTGTCACGGCCACATCAAGAAGGTGTTATCTTGGTGGGGAGGATGTCCATATTAGGCATCAAGTCTCGATTTTAGAATCCCCAGCTTAGAATGATAATGTGTAAGCATTTGCTGTTTATACTTTTCACAGTTTTGAGTATTTTGTTATAGCATCCTGAGTATACTCAGAAAACCTGCATCCTCTGCAGTGACTATCCCAGCAGGTAACAGAAGGGAGGAAAAAAATTCCCCTTTGTCATTTAATTGTTTTTATGTGTGAGCATTATATAGTCAATATGAGTATCTTAAGGCAAAGCTCAAGTATTAAATATTACCAATTTATCACCAATAAATCTATGGTGTTATTTCAATAACAAATAAATGTTAAGAAATGAGTACCCCCACTGTGCCTGTTAACAAAGATAGCAGGACATTTGGGAGACCATGAAACACTCTCCATTGCCTTTTGATGTTTCCTGAGTGAAACACCAGGGTCCCTAGAGTGTAGTACTAGCCTGAATATTGAAAGACAAAGGGGGAAAATCCTTCTTATGGATGACATTTTTCTGATAATATGTGCTTGCTAGTAATCCAATCACTTAGCAGTATTCTGAATGCCTACCATACACAAGTACGCTGATAGCATGTGGAGGAGGGGACATCTTTAAAGGTTCAGACATAGTCTCTGTCCTCAACAAACCTCTGATCATGTGAGAAAGAGCAATCTCATACACAAAACTACTTTTTTTCTATCTGTAAAATAATTCAGTTTATCCATGTGATCTATGGTCTTTCTCAATGCTGTTTTCTAATTGTGATCAGCAAACAGCGCATGACCTTATGTAGCCTTATGGTTCTGAGCAGGCTGGGGTGTGGGTGTTGGTGTTTGAGTACACAGAAATCATGGGTGACAAAAGAGGTTCTGTCACAGCAGGGAAAGCTGATGTGGACAGACAGGAGGGTTGGTGAATTGGCAGTGGTGTCTCTCTCTCCCTCTCTCCCTCTTTACCCTCCTCTTTCTCAATGTGGGAGACTTTTTGTTTCATTAGTTTTAGTGTTTTACTCACATATATTGACTGTCAACACAACAGATTTGCTGTGACACTTTCACGCAGGCCCCTCTGTTAATGCATTGGTCCTCCATCTTCGCACAGTAGGGGGCTTTTCCTCTCCATTAGGCGTGATGGATACTGCTTTCTTCCATCCTTCAGCTCCAACACTAATATGTTAATGACAGCGGGTGTTATCAAAGCTGGGGAGTGCCAGCAAGTATAAATAAACACAGAGGTGAGTGTCATAGGCTGGTGACATTTTTTTGCTTGCTTTAGAGTTCTGAGGAAGAGGTCTCGATAGACCTTTTCCCACTCAGTACATTGAAGGGGAAAATTAGGCCTGTAGAATAGAGAAGCCTGGATTTACTGTGATTACTTCTTCACTTACCTGTAGAGCCCTGAGACTTGTCTACCAACTAAAAATGGGAAGCATTTTGTAGGGCTATTTTGAAGATTAAATTAGATGGATATAAAGATAAGGAACACATATCAGACATCTATTACACTGGAGCTGCCCATTGTTATTGGAGTCTGCTTCTCAGCTCTAACCCTAGCAACACTCAGGACATAGGAGATTCTCCTTCACAGGTCATCATCACTGCATGTCTCCAAGGGACCAGCTGTTTCACCACGGTCCTGGGTTCCCCGCCAACTCTTTCCACCTTGCCAGGTGGAGAGGTGGAAGCTCTGAACTGCTTTTATTTCCTTCAGGATGTAGGTACAGGACTTGTATTTCCCATGAGGATCTCCTCATCTGTACATCAGTATGTCTGTACACACATACATACATACATATATACATGTTCGTGTATATAAATATATATATATACATATATATATACATATATGGCATTGGACCTTATTATAAATCCTTAGGGCTAATCCTAGCTTTTTAAGTTTATACTTATATTAATAATAACATTCAATCTTAGTTTATGGATCAACAACTATCTGTCAGGGCCTATATACTAATTAGTCTGCATAAATTAATATAGTGGAATGCTCTATGATGCAAAGAAGTTTCTCTCAAACATTTAATTCATAATTACTTATGCTTTTTGTCATAAACAGTAAAGCAGAAAAGTTCAATAACTTCCTTTAAGTCACTAAATCAAAATGATTTAAATCAAAACATATATCCAAAATTACTTTATTTGTCTGGGCATGTGCTAGGCATTGTACAAAAGAAATTGACAGAAGATAATTCTTGTCAGTAAGAATTTACTACTCGGAGAAGGCAAATCAATATCCTGTATCACTGAGGCTAGTTCCATAATTATATTCTGCAGCAGCAGGAGTCAATCTTGCAGAGATGTCAAAAAAGATAAGAAAAAGACGAACTCCATAAAACCTCCATTAGCAGGAACCCAGCTAATTGTAACAGTCAAAACCTTCTTTCTCATCTGCTCCTGCCTTCATTTTCTGTTTTCTATTTTTAGGACCCAGCAACAAATGACAAGAACATTTCTCATCAGGGAGGTAAATGATGTGGCTGATGCTTGTGATTCTGTGGATGTGCTGGTAGGTGGTTGTCTCGGAGGGAGGATGAGTGACAGGGAGCTGCCAGCAGACACAGGCAGGGAATACAAATGATTTTCCTGAAGGGGTGCAAGCAAGAGCTTTTTCTGCAGGAAGACAGGTGCAGGGGAAGGGGCCTTGTGGAAAGCTTATGGCTAGGGACACAGTTTCCTTCACCCCTGCATGTTTTAAGCTAGAACACAAACAGATGATGCTCTAACTACCACGGTGTGGGATTGACTGTACAGCAAGTCCTCCTAGGTTAGAGTGTGGAGTGGTATGTGTGTGGGCAGGCTTCTTTTCACTTCTCTGATATTTCTTTATGGTTTAGAGAGTGGAAAGCAGACTTTCTGGTCATGTATCTACTGCTCCTGGTGCTGCCCAGAGCAAATTATTTTTTAGCTGCATCAAGGTAGGAATGCATTTTGCCCCAGGGATGTTTACCTACATCTTTCATCTCCGCAGGAGCTAGTGCAAGTCAGTCTTGCACATTGCTGGCTAGAAGATGTAGGCTGTACTGAAGTACTCAGTACAGGAGACTCTGAGAGCTAGCCATCCCAAGGAGACCCAGATTCCATTCTGCTTGAAGTCAGATTCTCACCACTAAGCTTTAGCTTTACCCGGACTTGAAAGATACACTTGTACAAGTTAGCACTGCACAACTCCAGGGAACAAGCTGTTTCATGACGGTCCTGGACTCACCTCAGACTCTCATTCTCCCTTCCCAGGCACAACTACTTATCACAGATGCTTTTGGTAATATAAAAAATACCCTACATCTCAGACACCAAACAAGAGGAAGGCCTACTCTTTTCTACTTCGTCTGGGTAGAAAGTAAACCAGCACAACATTCATCACATTCTAAGACTTCAAAACAGAATAGGAAAGACAACTGTCTCCGCCTTAAATTTAATTTTCACAAATTCATTTATTTGGGGTTCTGTACTGTAGATGCTACATAGCCTATCATAATCCATACATAATGAATCATATTTTGGCTGCCTACTCACTAGCACCCTTCCATGCTGAAAATTATCTTGTGAGCTTTCCATTTCAGTAAGAGTTCTAAATACTCAGTCTATGAATCAAAAACCTATTAGCTGAAAGTGAACAGTGGTTTGGGAGGTTAATTTGTAATTCATGACTACCCCCAGATAATACAGGCAAGTAGAAAGAAAGAGCAGATGGAATACACAGACAATTAACACATTTTAAGGTGCATGGAGATTGGACAAATAAAGACAGAGTCAGAGCCAGAAGTGGTGATACACATCTGTAATGTTAGCTCTCTCACTCTGGAGGTGAAATCAGGAGCTTTGGGAGTTTAAATGCCAGCCTAAATTACTTAGTAAAACTATGCCTCTAAAAACCGGGGTGTGGGGAAGGGCTGGAACGCCGTTCTCAGTTTAGGAGCGCCCTGTCTTTGATTCCAAATTAGAAGTGGTAATTGTCCCATCTCCATTTTCTTGAGTTTACAACAGAAACAGAAGTTAAAGCTGTATGCAATTCATGAAAGATCGCGGCCAATTGGAATGGCATTATCTAATACGAGCAGCACAATTTCCCGATGGAAGCAGCAGTTCTTTCTGATTTCTCAAGTTCAGCTAATACAAGCCATTTTGTAGCAGCCTCTCTCTGCACGGTTCCCCCCACCGAGAGGACTCCGCTAAACAGCCTCCTCATCCAGGAAGAGAAAGGTTCAAGGACCGAACACCTTGAGTGGGAGGAAACGACAATTAAACCAATTAGCCATTTCATAACCTCCATCTAGTTTGAAGACAGGTTTTGTTCCAGCTTCTTTATGTTTCGGATGCTCAGAATGTTTTTTACACGCGGTAATCATTATTCTGTAATTACATTAAATGCTAGCTTCTGTGATCTCTCTTGAACCCTGTGAAGCAGTAAAGCAATCCACCTAGGCTATGCTGAACTTTCTAAATTAGACACAATACACCGATTTAATGTGGATACGGCTGGAGCCCAGTGGGGATAGCTCATTATTTGTGGTGGTAAACGTTAACAAATGAGCAAGGATGAAGTCATTGCGCTCTCATTCTTTCCTACACACACACACACACACACACACACCACTCACACACACACCTTTCATTAAATTGCTACTCAAGGAATATTTGTAAAATGATAAAAAAAAATCACAAGTCTTGTACAAATTGAACTCTAGTAAGATGCTTTATTTCTTTCTCTAAAGGGGAAACCAATACATTGTTACTAGTGAATTTGAGGAATTTGAAGATCAGACAATAAAAGATGCTGAAATCTGCTAACAAATGCAGGCTCTCTTACCAGGTAATAAAATATACTATTTGGCGTGATCTTTTCAGCAGGTGAGTAACACTGTATGTACTTACCAGACAAAATTCATGTTCAAGACTCTTGATTTTCACAACCTCCCTCTGCCTCTACAGATTGCTGGACACCCAGTGAAGATGTAGCCTCTACAGAACCCAATAATCCTTAGAAGATCTGCCAGGCAATGGCCACCATGGCCAGGGCCAAGGCATTGTGCCAAAAGTGCACCCTGCTGTCTCCTTTGCCTGTGTCTAAGCATTTGACCATTTTCTTTTGTCAGAGAAAACCATCTATTCACACTGTTGTTTCAAAGGAATAAAAAGACAAGCTGGAGAAAAATCAAGCAATTCATTCAAACCCACGTTAGCAGGTGCTAAATAAAGCAAAGGCTAAAAGTGGGGGATGCTTAGAGTCCTCAAAACTGACAGTTGAAAGGAACTCTAGAAATCACCTAAGAATTTCACTTTATGGAAAATAAGTCTGAGGCTGCCTTCTTGGTAGTGGGAAGATATTAAATGCATCTCAGGTGTCTCAAACTCTGTGGGGGTACACCTCCACTCCCTCTTGGTGCAAAGATTCCACACACACCCCCATCGTTCACATACCATGGTAAGAATGAGGTGCTTGTGCTCGTATTCAGAAGTAATCAAAATTTAAATGTATAAGAAAAAAATATGTATCATGAATGCATGCCTTAATTTTTCTCTAATGGAGATATGGGAACATTGACTTTATTCATTTTATTTTTTGGTGTGTATGTGTGTCCTGATATGTCTGAAGGTGCACATGTGTGCACATGTATGTGGGGGACAGAGCTTGCTCTTTACATTGTATATCTAGGCAGGGTCTTTCACTCAACCTAGTGCTCACCTACTCCGATGGTCTAGTTAGCCGTCTTGTTTCCAGGAGCTCCTGTTTCTCCCTTCTGTGACCTTAGATAATGAGTAGGGGCCATCGCACCCACTCGACATTCACAAGAGCTCTGGGGATCCAAACTCAGCTCATCACGTTTGCATAGCATGTGCCTTCCCCACTAAGCCAACCCCTAAGCCCAATAATGAGCTTTGCAATAGACATTATATGGTTCAGGTAAGTTGTGGTGGTTTGAATGGCTCCCATAGGCTCATAGAGTTGAGTGTTTAGTGACCAGAGAGTGGAACCATTTGAAGGGATGAGGAGGAATGGCCTTGTTGGAGGAAATGTGCCACTGGGGTGTGGGCTTTGAGGTTTCAGAAGCACATGCCAAGCCCACAGTCTCCCTCTTTCTGTTGCCTGTAGATCCAGATGTAGAACTCTCGGCTCCTTCCCCAGCACCATGTCTGCCTGCATGCCACCATACTTCCTGCCATGATGACAATGGACTAACCCTCTGAAACGGTAAGCCAACCCAAATTAAATGCTTTCCTTTATAAGAGTTGCCATGATCACTGTGTCTCTTCACAGCAGTAGACCATGACTAAGACATAAGAGTTATGAAGTATTGTGGGAAACAGTTCTACAGGTAGAAATGAGATCCAAATGTCAAGTTCCTTTGATGGGGGATAAATTCCTTATGCCCCATGAAGAGTGAGAAGGTGGTAGCCTTGTTTACTCAGAACTCTGGTTCCTTCTGTGGAAGCTTTTGTTGGGTTGGCAATCTAGCCTTTCTCTACATGTTAAAGCCCTCAAGCTCCCAAAATGTTAGGGGATCGAAGAGAAGAAAGCACTCAGGTAAAATAAAATACCCTGTTTCATTCATCTTTTACCTCCCAAACATAATCTTTTAAATCCATCCTTTCCTATAGCTTCTTATACATAACCCCACTCAGATCTGTGTAGTCTACATAATCAATTCTTGAACATTAAAATTGATTAAACACAGGGGAGCATAGATCTGGATCATTAGATATATGCTATTTAATTGGTAGATTAAAGATACTCATTAGGTGAAATTATATTGATGCCTAAGCAACTTCTCTAATTTATAGCTCATAAAAAGTCAAATTCTGATTACTGTAATCATTTCTTTCAAAATGTAAAAATATGTGAATGTAACTCCATAAATGAATGAGAATCAGAAAAATGATTCTCATTTGTCACCTTGTCTAGGTCTTCAAGACAAAATAAATTGCTATTATTTCATTTTCTTAAGTTTGACTCGTCTCTGCTAATGCTTCAGAGACAATGGTAATGAACGAAACTTCACAGTCTCCCTGAACTCTATTCAGAATCTTCACAAAGAGATGCTGATGTACATGTGAAGTTCTGAAGGAGCTGAGACCGGCCATTTTGTTTCCCGTACATGTTGAGTCACATCTCCCCAAACTCTATTCAGAATCTTCACAGAGAAATGCTGATGTGAAGTTCTGAAGAGGCTGAGACCGGCCATTTTGTTTCCGGTACATGTTGAGTGTTTAGTTCTGAACACAGTGCCATCATCCTCTGTTATTAGAAGCAAAGAACAAAGAAAACCTCTTGTCACCAAGCTAATCTTTTGTCTGTAGATAGAGAAGCCTTTCCTTTTGCAGGGGCTTCTCCACTGTCTCCCCTTTGGGATTCACAAGCAGCCTGCCTGGCAGCTTTCTACACCAGAAGGCAATGGAGTCACTCAGGGACTGCACAAAGCCTCATTCCTAGGCAATAGAAGAGCTGTGAATAGTTGAGCTTCTGTCTTCTCATTTCAAACCCTGTGTTCTCCTTTCTCTACAATCCCAATTACTAAAACTTGTCATTGAAAATGATTAAATTATGAATAAGTATTGTATTTTAGGCTATTAGCAGAAATCTCTATCCTTGGCTTTTATGATCTCTTCCAGGAACCAGTACTTCCTAGCTTCGTGATCACCTTGAAAAGCAATAGAGAGTAGATGTCACACTCCCAAAATGTAATGAGCCACATGAACAATGGAATCATTCCTAATAGAGAAGATATTTTGTCCCAGTAGGAATAAATGAACCATTTATTGCCACTGAAGTATGAAATTTGTTTCTAATGTAGTTAATAAATGCAAATAATTTCCTTCAACTGCTCGGAGGAACTCAACTAAGCAAGACAATGAGGCAATGTTTTTGAAACTGAGTGTGACTCAAGACTACAGTGCATAAAAGCAAATGCAAACTGACACTGCATTGTTTAAGTAGCAGAACCACAGCCAGAGTGGAACCGGAGAAAAAGCGGTACCTAGCACACTAGTAAATCGACGTGGTGATCATTTCCTTACTTCCATCAACTTGAAGCAGTCAGAAACACTGATCGTGAGACAGAAACCAGGCTGTCATGTACAAACTGCTCTTGACTGATCCATAGGGACAAGGAAGTACAAATTTACCGCCTGGCATGGAAAGATGGGACACAAAGTAGGGGTGCCGGGAGACCCCCTTCTATTGCTTTGACACCAGTGTTTAGCTAAAGGGTCTCTAAATGACTATCTGATTACTTTCTGTATAGTTCAGTTCCCATGCCCAGAATGAAAGGAGGTTTTCTCGCTTTCAGTATTTGGTTTTTACAAAGAAGGTCCTTTGCCCTTATAAGAAACATAAAAACACATTGCTTGACACATGCCATTTGAGGAAAACTCACGCTTTGGATTCTGAAGGGTTGTATGAAATCTGAATGTTGTCTCCAAAAGCACAGGGCCAGAATGCGTGTAGAACTGGGCCCCATTCATTGCATGGAGCACGCAGCACCGTCATGCAACACCGTCATGCAACACCGTCATGAAACACCGTCTCTGGTGCTTTGACAGTAGCTTGAGAGCAGGAACAGGTTTACATTTTAGCTCCTGCATCAGCTTCAAACGTCAGTCACTTCCCCTTGCTACTTTGATGCCTGACTTCTCCTGCCTTCTCCACCCCCTTCCCCTCTCATTCTCCCCACTTTCCACATCTCCTGCTTGCTCATGGCCACAGCCTCTGTTCCACACAGCCTCCACACCTGTCTCCTCACGTGTGCCACTTTGAGCCCTGCTGGCTTTCTGGGCCTTTCATTCGAAGTTCCCTGAAGAAAACTTGCACGAGCCAAGCAGTTATGCCTATGGCAGGCCCTGTGCAGAGCTTCTTGTGCTAAGAACCTGGAAAGTCCATCCAGATCACAGATGGTACAGCTCTACCCCTGGTCTGCTCTGTGGAAGCCAGGTGGGCAGGTACCCACGGAATAAACAGGGAGGCCTTTATAAAAGCAAACAACAGAGGCTGGGGTGAGTCTAGCACGTCATGCCTCAAAAGAGACCAGTGAGACCCAAGAGTTAAGCTACCTTCCAGGAAGTCCTTTTCTATCTCAAGTTCTATGACAAACCTTTTAAAAAAAATTTTTTTTCAATGCCGGAGCCACCAGTGTGATAATTCTCAATCTTGTATGTGTCTGACTTTTTACCTAAATAGAAACTAATCCCCAAGGGAGAAAGGGAGCTGAGGGCAATGACTCCCTATACTAAGAGAGCAAGTACTCTACACAAAGGGGAACGAGGCTGGTTATGTTTCTGATGTACCGAAACAACCATTACAGCAATTACTCACATTGCCACTAACCCGCTAAGGTGACACAAAACAAAGCAGAATCATAACTCTCCTAAAAGCACCGTCAAGGCCAAGGCCAGAATTTGTCTCCAACACAGATCCGTTCATTTATACCTCTACTCACTTCCACTGAGATGACCAGTTTCCATATAAATGGGTTTATTAATAAAAATTGGCAGATAAAGATATATGATAGGAGGTATATACTTCAATCCCTATAACATTGGGTTGTATAGTGTTTTATTATTTCATTTTTCCCCAAATGCATCTTTCAATTCTAAAAGAAAGTGTACATTTCTTTAAAAATATGTCACATTGCACAGACTCTTCACTCTTTCTATTGTATTTTTTGATAATTGGTTACCCATGACACTATTTTCCTACACAGGCCCTTTAATGTTGAAGTTGAAACCAATTATTGACCTGCCTCACAAAAGTTTGTAGTAGCAGTTTCTTTTCTAAATTAAAAATAAATAAATTTTGAAAAATTTTCCCTAACAAAAGTTATTGTTCCTTCACGGCATGTAAAACATCATGTCCAAGATGCTGACTTTCTTATAAAAAAAAATGAAAATTCTCCATTCCCAGTAACAACATCACAGTGGTGTTATTTCATCAAAATAGGGTAATTTCTCCAGCACTCAGAGTTAATATACTGACTTAGTACAGGGAAATCTTATCTCTATGTCTCTGTAGGCCCTTCAATCAACACTGCTAGAAATAATTACATTTGGCATGGCATGGTGGTCCAGGTCTGTAACTATGGTGTTTTGGAAACAGAGACCAGGGAATCCTGAGTTCCTAAGCCAGACTGGGCTATAATAGTGAGTTCAAGGCCAATCCTGGAACATAGTAAGACTCTGTCTCTGAAAACCAATAATACTAATTAACAATACTATTATGATCTGAATTTTTATTATTCAGTTATTATTGTTATTTTTGAGCACTTCTGCATTACCTAACTTTTTAGAAGGTACTGGAGAGACTCAGGAGATAAGAGTCAGATAAATGGTATTTAAGTCACAAGTATGGAGAAAGATGTTCCAACGTTTGCTGCTACTGAGTACTTCTGCACTGAAGAGGACAGAAAGTGCTACTTGGAGATCAGACCTACAGTTGATTGTCATTGATGAAGGATTCCCCCAAAGATGTTTTCACATCCTATTCCCTTAAATTTGCAAATGTTTAGAAAGTTGAGTTTCCTTATTTGGAAAAGGAGTCTTTATGTATGTAATTAAGGATTTTAATATGGAACCTCCCTGGGTTATGTAGGTGGTGAATGACAAATACTGCTTCGTCTTCTCTGCCTCCTCCTTCTCCTCCTTCATCTCCCCCACTTTCTTTGAGACAAAATCTTGCTGTAGCTGGAGCCCAGCTTTGATCTCATTGTCCTCTTTCCTCAGCCTTCAAGTGCTAAGATCATAGGTGTGCACCATCATGCTTAGTTCTTGTGAGCAAGAGCATAGGAAAGCCTCACAGAAAAAGAGCAGGCAACATGAAGATTGTGTCAGATATGGAAGGGATTAAGCTCCTAGCCAAGGAATTCCAGGACTAGAAGTTGGAAGACACAGGGAAGGACTCCCCAGAGCCTCTGGAGAATGTGTGTGGCACTGCTACCTACCTTGGCATTGGATTTATGCCAGAACTGAAAGAATAATATAAACGAGGTATTGTCTCATTTACTGTTCTATTGCTGTGAGGAGAAACCATGGCCAAGGAAACCCATAAGAGAAAGCACAGAATTGGAGGCTTCCTTACAGTTTCAGAGGAGGAAGCAGACAGGCATGGCATTGGAGCAGTAGCTGAGAGCTTTACATTCATATCCACAGAGAGCAGGAAGAGAGAGAGAGAGAGAGAGAGAGAGAGAGAGAGAGAGAGAGAGAGAGAGAGAGAGAGAGCTTAGGCCTGGCTTGACCTTTTGAAACTTCAAAGCCCACTCACTCCCAGTAACATACCTTCACCAACGAGGCCAAACCTACTACAACAAGGCCATGCCTCCTAATTCCTCCCAAAGAGTCCCACTCCCTGGTGTGTAGCTAGAGTTTTCCTGCTTGGCCCACAGTCAGGACAAAACTCTCTCACCTGCCAGTCCCACAGCCTCTCAGACCCAACCAAGTAAACACAGAGACTTACATTGGTTACAAACTGTATGGCCGTGGCAGGCTTCTTGCTGACTGTTCTTACAGCTTAAATTAATCCATTTCTATACCTTGCCACGTGGCTCATGGCTTACCAGCATCTTCACATGCTATTTCTCATCGTGGCAGCTGGCAGTGTCTCTCTGACTCAGCCTTCCACTTGCCAGCTTTATTCTCCTCCTTGTCCCGCCTACACTTCCTGCCTAGCCAATGGCCAACCAGTGTTTTATTTATTGACTAATCAGCAACACATTTGCCATATAGACCATCCCACAGCACTGGTGACTAAGCATTAAAATACATGAGCTAATGGGAGCTGTTCTCATTCAAACCACTACATTTTAAAGTCACTTAGTCTGGGCCATTTGTTACAGCAGCCATAGGAAGCTAAAGCAGTAACCTTTTTGCATGCGACTGTGATGGCCATTTTGAGTTGCTAGGAACTCTGGGATATAGTAGCCAGGGGGCAAAGTTTTGAACACTACATTGCACAGGATTAGAGTAATGGAAAACACCATGTACTACTCATATCACAATAGCAAAACATAAAATCTGCATAATAAGGAATTATCCTCAATGGGGTCAGAAGTGAAAATGGCTGACTCAGAAGAGCAATACAAATAAAACTCTTACAGACAACAAAGGACAATAGAGGTTAAAACCCAGGGACTCTTCAGGCTAGACAAATACTCTACCGCCAAACTACATAACTAGATATACAAGGGGCAATTTAAAATAAAGATTTCGGCAAGCATACTTCTATGAAGAATAAATTCAGGACTTCTCAGCACAGCAGATTCCCATATCCATTTATGTCAAAACTCAAAGAACCCTTTGTGTGTGGCTAGTTTGTCCATGGTACATTGCTGGGTGTCATAAATATAACATTAACAATAATAATGCAGGTCCTGAAAGTATACACTCTAGTGGCACAGACTTGGAAGTACACTGTAATATAATTACAGCACAATGTAGTAAGGAGCTGTTAGATTGTTCTAGATGCATAAATAGTCAGATTTAGGGGAAGAAGATTTCTGAGAAGAGATATTTGAGTGGAGTTTTTAAGGAAAATTAGATTCATGACTTAAACATAGATGATGATAGCCCCGTACAAAGGAAAGGAAAGTATCAGCTTAGGACCCCCAAGACCAAGTTCTCAGCACAAAAGATTTATTTGCCCCAGAGGGACAGAGGGCAGGGAATGAGAGACAAAGACAGGAGACAGAGGATGAGGGAGAAGGGGAAGGGAACAAAGGCAGAAGGGTAGGAATGTTTGCTCTAGAGAGCAAAGGACGCTTCTGGATAGCGAGGAGCGGACTGGCCCACAGGAAATGGCAGTTTATAAAGGTACAAGGGGAAACCGCATGTTAGGGTGAGGTGTTTAATTTTAATTTGGCCTGTTAATTAGGTAAGCCAAAGGGGTCTTTTGAATTCTGGACTTGAATACATTGATAGCTGGACTTTGGTAGTCAGCCTCAGGAGGAGGGATTGACCAAATAAGGGAACAGACTGGGCTGTATGTGTCCTTCCCCACCCCACCCCCACTTCCTGCCCCTACACACCCCCAGCCTCGCTCCATCTGTAAGTACTTCCAGGAGAATGAGATTAAATTCCTGAGTGAATGAAGAGTGAAATGTCTCTGGGGGAATTCGTTAGCTGATAACCGAGATAGACATCTTTGGTGAACTCCCCCGTTAATGAATACCCACATGTTCTTTCCTTCATTGTGGGTAAATTTTTATGGTACAAGCTGAAGATGTCCAGAGGCATTCCCTTCTGCCATTTTAACTTCTCACTCGTGTGTTCCTTACCTGAATTGTGGCTGAAAATATGTAGGCTATCTTTCCTTCCTGAGTTGTGGCTGCTATCTGAGCATGCTCAGGAATGCACTCTTTAACTGAGCATGCCCACAAATGTACTCCCTACCCCCCACCCCCCAAAAAATACTTTCCTGTGTGGATATGTACAGGCTCCCTGATACAGGTTTCCTTTGTTTGGGGAGGGTGTGGCTTTAGAGTTCATCCTCCTGCATTCGTTGGGGGTATGTAATAAACCTTTACTGTTTACAGAAAGGGCAGCTCTCTAAGCTGGTATCTATCTTTTCATTATTGTAAGTGCCATAAAAGGCTTGAGACCAGAGAGCATTTGCTCTGATTTCTCTGTTTTCTTTATGTGGAGTATAGTGCACTATATTCTGGAGTCTGCTCCTCTTACAAGATTATTCTATTCCAAGATTACTGAAATTCTTAGAAAAGGTGTAGTTCTGATTAGTTTTAGTGAGTCGGTTTCTTTGAATATATTGACTACCTATCAAGTGCCATTTGGTCCACTATCAATCATTAGCAGTCTGCATGCTATTACTAGAATCACTTAGCTGAATGAGACTCAGCCCATTTTTGTAATAAGGCTTGTCATAAGCATGAAGGTGAACATGCAGCTTATGACTCATAAAAATGCATAAATCCTGGGTGTTCGTAGAAGGAAAAAGCTGTGCCCAGTAGAAAAGGATCAAAGGCAACGGCTTGACAGAGGTGGCCCAAGGCCTTGGAGGACACCTTGGGTTTTTAAAGACACAGGAGTAACGTCTCATGGAGCCATGGTTCATGTTGAACTTCCTTCTCACTCGTGAACGTTTCTGGAGAGTGGATGCTGCACACTTCTCACCTTCAGCAATTTTTATGTAATTGCATTTTAATGTAATGACACTGGCTGGGAAGTGAGACAGGAAGATCTTCCCATGATCTAAATGTCCCCGGCTATGACTCCCATTCATATCGACTGTGTCGCTTTTCCAGTCTTTTTATTTAATTTTGTGCTTTAAGCAGCTTACACAGTAGCTGGTCTCCTCGTGGCGTTTTCTCAGTAGCTGTTTGTGACGTCTTTGATTTTTTCATCGTTTGACAAGAACCTCATCATTGTTCCAGTCCACACATCCCACTTTCCTTTCCCTCTTCGCCAGTATGTTCTTACAGAATAATTTCTGCTTATTTAAAATTTTAACTTCTTTTTTTTTATTTCATTTTTTTCTTTCTCAAAGGCACTCTCTTGATCTGAGAACTTACCTCATTTATTGACTGCTTTTCCTTTTATGATATGAACTGTGTACACACACACACACACACACACACACACACACACACATTCACACACATATACATACTCACACATACACGCACATATAACACCCATGCATATATACTCACACGCACACATACATACATACCCATAGTCACACACA